GGGAGGGGCTTCGGGGAAATATTTGGGGTCTAAACAGCCCCCTGATATTTCCCTTTTAAAATAGAAAAAGAGAATTGAGGACACAAAGTCCTCATAGACACAAAGTCCTCAATCTCTCTTTCTGCAGCCTCAGCTGTTTCAGAATGGGAGGAGCCTATGTACAGAGTGCTTCTCCCCATTGAGAAACTCATGAATAAACAGGAAGTGATGTAAATCACATCCTGTTCACTCATTACTGGGGACACATAGTACTACGTATCCCCAGTTATTTACAAACACCGGAGTCATCAGCTGATCGCTCCAGTGTTTGTCCTGCACAGAGGATCGGAACATATCACTGACATGTACCGATCCTCTGCCGCTCGGCAACGCACACGAGTGGGCTCAGCTTCTCCTCTGGATCCGCGATGCTCTACCGGGCAGAGGCAGCGGAGGATCCGACACGAAGCACTTCAGCCGCGGGGGGGCGGAGCCGCTGTCACAGAACTAAGGCCGAGCGTCTCTCTCTCTCTCTCCTCACCGCTCGGCATCTGTCCCTCCCCGTCCTCTGATCTGTCCCTCCCTCTCCTCTGATCTGTCCCTCCCTCTCCTCTGATCTGTCCCTCCCCGTCCTCTGATCTGTCCCTCCCCGTCCTCTGATCTGTCCCTCCCCGTCCTCTGATCTGTCCCTCCCTGTCCTCTGATCTGTCCCTCCCCGTCCTCTGATGATTGTCCTCTTCCCTGCAGATCCCAGGTTCGGTCAGGGCATTTACTTCACAGACACCCCTAGGAGGACTCTAGATTGCTTCCAGACCCCGGAGGAGCAAGGCGGCCTCCTCCATTTCTTCCAGGCGGAGGTTCTGAGTGACAGCTCTTCAGACGGTAGAGACGCACCAGTTCTGGTTCCTAAGAAGCCATCGCACCGATCCAAACCGGACGACATTTTGGATTTGTGTGAAAGTTTGGTAAATTCCACCTTATTCCCGTCCGTTTACGTCATACCCGACAGTTTCCGAGCCAATCCTCGGTGTCTGTTCACCTGCAGACGGCAAGGAGTATATTCTTCCCGTATCTAACGCAGTGAAACCAGCCCCGGGGGAGGGGAGACATCCCATAATATAGGTGCCCCCAACTACAACCCATGGGAGCCAGCTGCTCCCTATCAGTTCTCAGGAACACGCTTCATCCAAATCCCATTCCATGAGAACTCCAGATCCGGGTTTTCTGTACCTTGGGAAGGGGGGGGGGAGGGATATCGGAGCTTTTTCAGGGTGTTTTATATTATCTGCATATTTCCTAAGCTTACAACTCGTACCGCTGAGGGACTGATCCAATGATCCGTATTATCTGGTTCCGGTTGGCTTCTGGGATTATAGAGTTGAAAAGAAATGTTTGTAGAAATTTGTGAATAAAGATTGTTTTATTGCAAAAATATAATATAAAACCAGCTGCACTCCTTAGCGGAACGACGGAAGCCGCGCGACAGCAGGGGGGGTGCTTGTGGCGACCGCGGACGGCACCGCGTCTAGTACAAGAGTGTAAATGTCACCAGTCAGTTTATTGACACACCGCCTCAAGGGTACCACGTGCCTGCCACATGTGAAACCGCTGGGGATACGTGGGCTATGACGAGACTGGGTGGGAGGAGCCTGTTTTAAACATTTAATTTCATGTGCATTTAAGGTGACGGCGTGTTGTAAGACTGTGTCACCCTGAGCCTGATGGAGGGGAACCCTTGAGGCCCCCGAAAGCGCTGGTACTGAATGGCGATGTGCCAATAAACGGACTTTTGCTGAAATACTTTTGGTGTGACGGCGACAAAAAATGCCCGGAGTTACACTTTAAAGTCACGGAAAATACCCCAAAAAACAAATCGGCGTTTTATACAATTTGTGGAATTTTCTGTGAAGTAGATTTTGTTATTTTTCCTCCCGGTGGAAAGTCAGGAGACCGGCGCGGGGCGGCGTCAGAAACATTCATTTATAACATACGAGGATCTGTATGAAAGGGCCGGGGCGGCTGTCATCCCATGTGACCCCCGCGCAGCTCTCTGATTGGTCAGCTCCCCATCACAGGGCTCACACACCCTTACACAAGGACCTGGCACTAACCAGCTACACCCTCCGGGGGGCGCTACAGTCCGCAGGGAAAGGGATAAACATGACCACCGTCAGTCCCGGATTAGAACCTGGGAGGTCCATGGCGGCAGAATTACTCCGCGCTCTCCGCAATCTCACAACCGTCCACAATCAGCGTATGGATGATGCCCTCCCGCCGCTTGCCGCTGCTCACCGCCTTGATGCAGCAATCGTGATTCCCGATGCTGAAGTGCGTCTCCGTGCCGTCTTCCACAAACTCCCCCTGCAGACAGACCACAGACATTATAATGAGGGACACATCGCGATCTGCACACAACCTCCATGCTGCCGCTGGGGACCTGTATAGAGGGATCAGGACCTCCTTCCTCAGCGCTGTCACAGGAGGCTGGGCTCTCCTCTCGCACCGCTCACTCAGCCTCCTGGGACTGCGTGTCAGGACGGAGGGCGGGTACAAGCAGTCATGTGATCGCTGAGTGTTTGTACATAATTGGAGGATATGGGATGTTAACTGTATCCTCAATTATGAATAAATGGGAAGTGATCTACATCCCCTCCTACATCACTTCCTGTTCATTCATGATTGTGGTTATAGTAATCATACTCTGTCCTCATGTTATCAATGAACAGAAACACTAATTCCTGATCATTGATAACGGGGGACACAGAAAAAGAGATT